CTGTCCTGGGAGTGTTTGATGGAGACAGTGTGGAGGGAGCTTTACTCTGTATATAACCCCATGTGGTCCCTGTCCTGGGAGTGTTTGATGCAAAATTGAAACAGATACTTACATTAATGTCCTGGATAATCTCAGTCACAAGTTGATGAACCTTTAAAAGGTTAGCAAAAAGTATTAATACTTTTGTTATTAACTGACCATTATACTTTTCATTTTTCAGCCAGTATTTAGCTGTTAATCATGTCACAATTTCTCATCTCCCTCTGAAGGTGCTGACTGTTAGAGGAGATAATTCCATAGTCACTGCAGCTGTTTGGTTTCCCCTGGCTTTTGTTCGTGTGAAAGGTTGGATTGTAACTGTTGTAACCTCTTTCACCACTAGAGGAGCTCTACATCTAGGCAGACACAGTCACCCACACAATATCTCACCCTGCATCCCCACCCCATCCACCCGCGCTCTCCCACGCCTCAAAACATGCACACGCTCCCAACCCCCACATACACACATGCGCACTCCCACTGCCACATGTACACATACACCCACACAGACGGTCCCAGCCACCCACTCTCTCACATACTCCCACCCACACACAGACCCTCCCATCAAGACACACACTCGCTTAACCCCACCACACACACACTTCCACCCCTACATCCACAAACACATGCACGCCCATAACCACACACACTCTCGCTCCCATCTCCCACACCCATACACACGCACACACTCACTCTCGCTCCCACACCCACACACCAATCTTGCTGGCGCGCAGACACAGACACACACACACACACACACACTCGCTCGCTCCCACATCCCCTACACCCACACTCTCTCCCACACCCCCACTTGCTCCCCACCCGTGCACACACCCACACTTGCTCGCACCTGCACACACACCCACACACGCTCTCAATGACCCCCACACCCCCAACACACACACACATATATATATATATATATATATATATAAAAACAAATGTGCAGACAATCATGGCACTAAGGAGAAAGGACTCAGTGCAGCCTAAAGGCTAACTGTAGCCTTCATTGATAAGAAACCTCAGTAATTGCTCGATAGGGAGTGACCTCCGCACAAGGATCAGGAATGGTTTGCTAGTGGTACCCTCCCTCAGAGTGGAAGAATATGGCTTCAGGTCCCACTCCAGATCCATGACGAGGCAGAGTGACACTCCTGGTGCTGCCTTTCAAATGCAACATGACAACACAATGGCCCTACGCTGTGCTTATGGCTCTGAGGGGATGGAATAGAACCTGTGAAAATCACTTGAACAAGGGCAACATTCTGACCCGCATTTACGCTTCAACCAACATCAGCAACAAACTGTGGGAGCTTGCTGTGCACAGACACATTCCCTTCTTTCCTAAAGTACAGCAATGACCAACGATTTGCCATATTCCTTCCTCCCTCCTGTTGCCAAGTGCTGCCATCTCCCTCTGCCATACCCACTGCCCGTAGCTCCAAGGTACAGGAACCTACCTGGGCACTGGAGAATGGCACGGACCTGATGCTGGAGATGACGACTGCCCGTTGATGAGCTGGCAGTGTGCTCAGGAAGTTGACCCCAAGCACAGGCAGGAGGCTGCCAAGTCTCTCCAAATTCCAGTGGGTCAAGGTGCTCATGTTCTGTCTCCGCAGGTGAGTTGCCAAAAGAAATGCAACCTAATCACAGAATATAGACAAACAAGGTGAGAAAGGGCCATCAGTCTAACTCCATGTAGATTGTGATACATCGCTGCCTACCTTCAGTGCAGTGAGCACTACACAACTCGCCATTTTTCAGCTTCTTTATCTATATATCTCCAGCGAGGGTCTACAAAGACTTTCAACACACTTTAACCTCTAAGATCTGCATTCGAATTCTCTCTTTGATTATTCCTCAGAGTTTGCACCGTGTAAGTAGTCTGGGACATGGGGAGGCTGCATGTTCGGATGGTGTGGGAATTGGAGAGGGACCAGCTGTGTTATATCAGGAGCTCCTGAGAAGGACGTGGAGACAGGAGGAGGCCATTCAGCCCCACTGAACACATTCTCCATTCAATAAGGTCACAGATCATGGTTGATCAGTATCTCAACCCCATTAATTGGCCCCAGTTACCTTAGTATCCCCATTTAACAAAAGAAAACTGCCTCCATTTTGAAACTTTTAATTGATCCCCAGCCTCAACGCAAACATTAGCAAGAGACAGAGTTCCACATTTCCAGTCGCCTTCATAGGCTTCCTGACATCGTTCTTAACTGGTCCAGTTTAATGTTAAAGTTACACTGCACTATTCTGGACTCTCCATCCCAGACAGGACAGTTTCCATTGAGTTTGTGTTTTGGAGTGAAGAGAATGCAAAAAAACATCCCAATGATGACAGTTTGGTTCTCAAAAGCAAGTGGTGCAAGGATGATACGAGCAGCAATTCTTAACTCAGTCATCCATTTATTTGCAGAGTGAAATAATTCAACTTCTAAATTATAAGTGTGAGGTTATCCATTTTGATCGGAAGAATTGAAAGGCAACTTATTATCTAAATGGAGAGAAACCTTAGAGAGCTTCAGTACAGAGGGATCTGGGTGTCCTTGTGCATGAGTCACAGAAAGCTGGTATGCAGGTACAGAAGGGAATAAGGAAGGTCAATGGAATATTAGCAGTTATTGCTGAAGGAATAGAGCATTAAAATAGACAGGGTTTCTGCAACTGTACCAGGCATTAGTGGGACCACACCTGGAGTATTGCATTCAATTTTGGTTCCCTTATTTGAGGAGAGATGTAGTTGTATTGGAGGCAGTTCAGAGGACGTTCACTAGATTGGATTCCAGAGATGATGAGTTTGCCTTATGAAAAGAGATTGAGCAGTTTAGGACTATACAGTCTGGGATTTAGAAGAATGAGAAATTTAATCGTGGTATGTAAAACGTTAAAGGGGTTTGACAAAGTAAACGTAAAAAGATTGTTTCCTCATGTGGGGCAATCTAGAACGAGGTCATCATTTTAGAATAATAGGTAGCAGAGTTAAAACCGAGCTGAGGAGAAATTACTCCGCTCAAAGGATTGAGAATCCATGGAAGTGTCTCCCCCAGAGTGTGCTGGATACTGGAACATTAACTCTATGACTCATGGTCCTACAGCTCGGAAACAGACCCTTTGATCTAAATTGTCCTTGCCTTCTATGTTCCCAAACTAAACTGATCCCATTTGCCTGCGTTTGGCCCATATCTCTCTAAACCTTCCCTATCCATGTACCTGTCCAAATATCTTTTAAATGTTATAACTGTATGTGCACCTACCACTTTCTCTGGCAGTTCATTCCACATACAAACCACCCTCTGCGCGAAAACGCCCCTCGGTTCCCTTTTAAATCTTTCTCCTCTTGCCTTAAAAGTATGTCCCCTAGTTTTGAACTCCCCTACCTTGAGGAAAAGGCCTTCACTATTTCATGCCCCTCATGATTTTATAAACTTCTATAAGGTCTCCCCTCAACCTCCTATGCTCCAGGGAAAAAAAGTCACAGTCTAACCAGCCTCTCCCTATAACTCAAACTCTCCAGTTTACATATTTGTAAACCTTTTCAGCACCCTCTCCAATTTAATAATATCCTTCCTATAGCAGAGTGACCAGAACAGTACACGGTATTCCAAAAGTGGCTACACCAATGTGCTGTACAACCTCAACATGACGTCCTAACCCCTATACTCAATGGTCTGAGCAATGAAGGCAAGCATCCAAATGCCTTCTTCACCATGCTGCCTACCTGTGACTCCACTTTCAAAGAACTATGTACCTGAAACCTTAGGTCTGTTTGACAACTCTACCCACTTTTTCCTTAGGGTAGGGGAGTTCAATACTAGGGGGCATATTTTTAAGGCGAGAGGAACCTGCCATTAACTATATAGGTCCTGCCCTTGTTTGTCTTACCAAAATGCGACACCTTGCATTTTCCAAATTAAATTTCATCTGCCACTGCTCTGCACAAGTTGATCAAAATCCTTTTGTAATCTTAGATAGAGGGAGGTGATGGCCTAGTGGTATTGTCGCTGGACTGTTAATCCAGAGACCCAGAAACATTCTGGGGATCTGGGTTCAAATCCTGCCGTGGCAGATGGTGGAATTTGAATTCAATAATGATGAGCATGAACCCATTGCTGATTGTCAGGAAAAACGCATCTGATTCAACTAATGTCCTTTAGGGAAGGAAACTGCCATCCTTACTTGGTCTGGCCTACATGTGACTCCACACCCACAGAAATGTGGTTGACTCTGAACTGCCCTCTGGGAAATTAGAGATAGGCAATAAATGCTGCCTGGTCAGCAATGCCCTCATCCTGTTAATGAATTAAAAAAAAACCTTATTCACTGACCACTTTGCCACTAATTTTGGTGTCATCCACAAACTTATTAATCGTGCCTCTTAAATTCTCATCCAAATCATTTATATTAATGACAAACAACAGCAAACCCAGCACTGATCCTTGCAGAAGACCACTGGTCACAAGCCTCCAGTCCAAAAAGTAACTCTCCTCCACCACCCTCTGTCTCCTACTGTCACGCCAATTTTGCGTCAAACTGGCAAGCACTCTCTGGATCTCATGTGGCCTAACAACTAACCAGTCTACCATGTGGAACCTTGTCAAAAGCTTTACTAAGGTCCATGTGGACAAGGTCAACTAATCTGCTCTCAACAATCTTTTTGGTCATGTCCTCAAAAATCTCAATCAAGTTTGAGAAACATGATTTCCCTTGCACAAAGCCATGCTGACCATTCTCGATCAGTCATTACTTCTCCAAATATATGTGGATCCTATCTCTCAGAATCCCCTCCAACAACTTAACAAAACACTGATGTCAGACTCACCAGTCTATAGTTCCCAGGTCTCTCCTTACAGCCTTTTTTAAATAAGGGCACAACATTAGCTACTCTCCAAACCTCTGGCACCTCACCCGTGGCTGTAGATGATACAAATATCTCTGCCAGGTGCCCCACAATTTCTTCCCTAACTTCCACAGCGCCCTGTATACACCTGATCAGGTCCCGGAGATTTATCCATCTTTATGTTTTTTAAGACATCCAGCACCCCCTCTTCTGTAATGTGGACTGTCAATATTTATTTTGAATTCCGTAGCCTCCATTTCTTTCGCCACAATAAATGCTGACGCAAAACATTTGTTTAGTATCTCTCCCATCTCCTGTGGTTCCACACATAGACGACCTTGTTGATCTTTAAGGGGCCTTATTCTTTCCCTGGTTGATCTTTTGCTCTTAATGTACTTAAATAATCTCTTTGGATTATCCTTATCCATATCTGCCAAGGTTATCTCATATCCCTTCTTACCCTTCTGATTTACCTCTTAAGAATGCCCCTACAGTATTTATACTCTTCAAGAGATTGACTTGATCTCAGTTGTGTATACCTAACATTCTTATTCTTGACTAAAGCCTCTATATCTTTATTCATCCATTGTTCCCTACCCCTACCAACCTTATCCTTCACTCTAACAGGAACGTAATGCCTCTGAATTCTCGTTATCTCACTTTTGAAGGCCTCTCATTGCCAGTCGTTCCTTTACCTGCGAACAATCTGTTCCAATCAACTTTTGAAAGTTCCTGTCTCATATAATCAAAGCTGGCCTTACTCCAGTTGAGAACTTTAACTTTTATACAAGGCCTGTCCCTTTCCATGGACAAAAACAAAAGTTGCTGGAAAAGCTCAGCAAGTCTGGCAGCATCTGTGAAGAAAATTAAGAGTTAACGTTTCGGACCTGAAAGAGTGCTTTCCCATTAACACTTCAGTCACTTGCCCTCCCTTATTTCCCAAGAGAAGGGAAAGTTTTGCTCCTTCCCTAGTAGAAACATCTACATATTTATAAAGAAAATTTTCTTGAACACTTAAATTCCTCCTTATCCAAGCCCTTAACACTGTGGCAGTCCCAGTCTATGTTTAGAAAGTTAAAATTCCCTATCACAACTCACTCTTCTTACACAAATCTGAGATCTCGCTACATATTTGCTCCTTGGTTTCCCCTGACTATTGGGGGTCTATAGTACAGTCCCATTAAGGTGATCAGCCCCTTCTTATTCCCGAGTTCCACCCATAGAGCTTCATTGAGCAGTCCCTCCAGGATATTCTTTTTAAGTACAGCAGTAATGTTTTTCCTAATCAAAAACACCTCTCCCCCTCCTCCCTAGCCTCTCTTTCTATCCTTCCTATAACATCTAAATTTAAATTTAGGGAAGAGATAAACAGATTTTTAATTAGCGATGGGCTGGAGAGTTACGGAGAGTGGGCAGGAAAGTGGCTGAGATGAGATCAGCCATGATCCCACTGAAGGGAGGAGCAGGTTTGAGGGGCTGAATGGCTTACTCCTGTTCCTAGATCTTTCACTGTTTGCTCACGTACCTACCTCCTAACCCAAGCACCCCGATTTGTATCAAGTCTCGATACATCCGCTCAAGACTAACCCCAATTAAGTCCCTCCACTTACATTGGTATAGAATGGACCATGTACATTTTGAGTGGCTTATGTAGATACTGACTCAGAATCTGATAAAAACTCTCAAACTTTTGATATTGATGGACAGGAATAGTTTGGTCCATCAAGCATGGCTCACTTGCAATGGCAGAGCATTAGCCTCAGACAGCTTCCTCCTGCCTCTGAGGCAATACCAGGCAGAGGTTGCAAAGCCAGATGGAGAGATGACAAAGAGCAAGGCTTTATCGACTGATATCACTGACCTGTCATGATTTCTATCCCAGTCAGGAACACAGTCTCCGAGCTGCCAATCAATCAGAATCCCGAGAACTCACCCGTCCGTCCGTGTCAATTGTCCGGTCCGAAACACATCTCAAAAGAGCTGAGGAGACACGGTCTGAGTGAGATGGGGCGGCCAGCAGCAGCTGGAGATCCTCTTCATTCGCAAAACAAATCAGCTTTCCGAGTCTGAAAAGGAAGTGAGGATTAGGAAAAGGTCAGGTTTCCAGCTAGGATTTCTACTCTCCGGGAGGAAATTCCCACTGGGATGTGGGATCCTCCATCTGTCAGCAGCAGGGCTCTGGGACCATGCGTCAGGAACTGGGGACAAAGACTCAGCCTGAGCATAGAGGCCAGCTGCCAGTCTGTCTGTGTGTGTGTATCAGTGCAGGGCAGCTAGACACTGGCATCGGACCAGGCAAAGTAGACCCAAGGAGGGATATAGGCTTGGAGGTGTTTACAGAGATAGGGAGGGGTGTAGGAGCTGAAGGAGGCAACAGAGATAGGGAAGGATGCAGAGGATCATCCAATAATTGAATCCCTACAGTGTGGAAACAGGTCATTCAGCCTATTGAGTCCACACCTACTCTCCATCCCACCCAGGCCCAGACACCTATTCCATTCCTATGACCTGCATTTCCCATGACTAATCCATCTATCCGGCACATCCCTGGACGTTTCAGGACAATTTTCCGTACTGAATCCACCTAACTTTGGACTTTGAGAGGAAACCGGAGCACCCAGAGGAAACCGACACAGTTAGGGGAAGTTGCCCAAGGCTAGAATTAAACCCATATCCCTGGCACTGTGAGGCATCAGTGCTAACCACTGAGCCACCGTGCTGATAAAGGAGGTGACAGAGGTAGGGAGGGGTGGAGGGGTGTCAGGGCGGGAGGAGGTGACAGAGATAGGGAGGGGTGGA